TAAAAAAATAAAGTGTACCAATAGGGGCTGGGGAGATAGCTCAGTAGAATAAGTGCTTGCCTGGCAAGCTCAAGGTCCTGAGTTCAATCCCCGGTACCACATAAAGTGTACCAATAGGGGCCGGGGAGATGGCTCAGTGAAATGAGCGCTTCCCTGGCAAGCGCAAGGGTCTGAGTTCAATCCCTGGTTCCGCCGAAAAAATAAATAAATAACTAAAGGGTACCAATAAAATTAATTTTTAAAATAAATAAATCAATGGGCCAGAAATGTTCCCTAAACTGCGCCTCTGGTGTCATATGAGAGAGAACAACTCAATTAAATCATTTTACTGAAGAACAGCTGGAGAATTGCCCAGAGATGCTGGGAGTCCCAGGGCAGTGGTGATACACTCAGAGATCAAAGTCCCTTGGTGCAGGTGAGGCCTGCCCAAGAGCTCCAAACAGCTTGGGCACAAAGCTGAGATGATTCACGGCCATAATCATTAGAAAGAAGAAGGATCTTATGCACCACAAACCCAGGCCTGGAACAACTTATTCCTGGGTGGCTGAACTATTCCTGTGTCAGCCATGCCAAGCACAGATCTAAGTAACCTGTCACCCCATACAGTCAGCAGCAGTTGTGCAAGTCCTCGTGCAGTGTAACAGTGTGGGGGCTTTGTGATTGGCTTATGAATAATTCTGTTCTGCTGCCTTAAAGTCAGGTAGCACGCTGCGGGGAAAGTATAGTCTTAATATCATAAACTAAAAATGTCAGTGGTAAGAAACTTTATATTTTTTATTTCTTAGGTTACTGGCAGATATTTCCAACAGATGCCAGTTGCAGCAACACCATCTCCTAGCTGGCTGCAAAGTGACTCAGTACGAGGACCTCAATTAAGGCAAAAGAAAGCCGACCAGGATCGACAACCTTGTTTGTCTTTTAGAATAAACACACTGTAAAGTGTACAATTTTTACCTGGGGTTTGGCAACTTCTCTATGGTTGACAGAGAAAGGGTCACACAGGAAGAAGAAAAAGATCATTTATCCATCAACTTTGAGCAAAACTGGTCATTTCAAACCCACTGGGTTTTTTTTGTTTTGTTTTGTTTTTTGTTTTTTAGGGGTGGTACCAGGGATCAAACTCAGGACCTTGTGCTTGCCAAACAAACACTTATTCCACTGAGCTGTCTCCCCAACCCTAAACCCACTGTTGATACCAAGTTGATTTTACAAACACTAATGACACTTCTCATCCTTCTGGGCTCCAAGATATAATGATGGATGAATGAATGACACACTATCAAAAGTATGTAGTCCTGGCATGTTGCGTAAGTTTGTCTTCCTTGGTTCTACAGTCAGGGCACTACCTCTCCAGCTCCATAAAACAGCCTCCGTGAATGAGTGAAAATGTCAGGTGAGACAAAAATCTTGAATTAAAGACACAATTCAGAGTTAACTCAACGGATATGACCACTTAGACATTTGTAGTAGTATTAGTGTCAATTGCTCATTATTCAAAAGCCTCTGCGAGGTCAGTCTCGGTGGGGACCTTGAACAGGGAAAGAGTAACAATCCACTCAGCTGTAGAATCTGGAGATGGAGACATTCTTCCATCCACTTATTTATAAATTCATTTATTCAACAAATACTTATCAAGTCCCTAGTATGAGTGTCTCCTGTGGTGGGTACTGAAATGCCAAAGTGAATAAAGAGAAATTATTCCTGTTTGAGGGCTTTGTATTCAAGTGGAATGGATAGAATATAAGCCAGCCAGAAAATAAAAAATACTATTTCACCAAGACTAGTGCTCTAAAGTATGAAAAAATAATAGAAAAAATTTAAGTGACAGAATAGGAGGCCAAATAACTGACAAACATAACGAGCTGGCTAATTTTTGTTAGAAAGAAGAAGCACATACTGTAAGACTATACTTTAGGGCTGGTGAGATAGCTCGGCAGGCTAAAGTGCCTGCTTAGGCAAGCTCAGGCAAGCGCACGGACTGCAGTTCATTCCCCGCACCAAATGCCATGCCAGCCCCATCCCCAGGGTGGGCTGAGCCAGCCGCAGTATCCAGGCGTAGAGGCACATGCCTGTAATCCCAGCTCTGGGGAGGCTCAAAACAGGAGGCTCTCATCCATTTATTTATAAATTCATTGGATCATTGAGTCCAAGATGTGTAGTGAGACCCTGTAACAACCAAATACATTTTTTAAAAAGGCTACACTTAATTGCCATTTTAGTTAACAAAATACCAAGAATATTGTGGAAGCAAAGAAAGAAGGAAAAGACCTAACAAGTCTCAGCTCAAGTCCCCCATGTACCCTCAATACTCTAGTGATACACAGCAGCTGCCATGGTATTTTGAGCAGGACAAATTCAGGATATAGCAAAGGAATAATTAGTTCCTAAGATACAACTAGAATGACACACCAAAGACAAAGGCTTTGAAAGCATATAAATGCATTTAGAGCAAATTTTCCACATCACTTTATTCTTCTTCTAACGTACTGTCAGTATGAAAGATTCTGATCACTGGTTCCTGTGGTGTAGAAGAGGTACCTCAAAAATCTCTATGGTTGAAGAGAAAGCATCACACAAGAAAAAGAAAGGGTCTATCTTGTTCTGGACGCAAGATGGGGGAGAAAACATAGAGGGTCAAGAAGGAAAGTGAAGGAGGAGAGACAAGGAAACATGAGCCTCCAAATCCTCCTCATCTTGGTTCCCACCATGTAAAAGAAGAAATACGTTAAACAGATGAAGTGTCCCTAAGACAAGCTACCTCGAGCCAATGAGATAGCTCAGTGGACTAAATGCTTCCTTCAGGCTAGTGCAGGGACTGGGGTTTGATTCCCAGTACCCCATGCTGAACCAGCCCCACCCCCAGGCACACTGAGCTACCCACCAAGACCCAGTGTGGTGGCACATGCCTGTAATCCCAGCACTGGGGAGGCTGAAAACAAGATCCTTATGAGTTTGAGCTTTGTAGTGAGACCCTGTACCAAATACATAATTTTTTTTAAAAAAAAAGTGGTTACATCTTAAGACAGATAAGCTACTTCCAGGTTAGAGTCTCAAAAGCCCAACACCTAGCAAAGGCTCCAACTAGAAGCACCTTTGCAGGATGTGCCTAAACAAAGACATCTTTAGTTTAAGCACCCCCAAACCACTCCTAGTTTACTGTTGCCTGGATTGAAGATGAAATGAGTCCGTAGGTCCATATGCTTGAAAGCCAAGAGGAGCTCAGCAGTTGGGAAGCCAGTGGCCATCACTCCAGGGCCCAGAAGACCCTGGACCCAAAGGCCTCCAAATCTCTGCCGCCCTAGGGCCCTATGAGCCTAAGCAACACACCTTTTGAGACTCAGTGTTATAGCAAGGGGGGGAAGATGATAGAAACTGACATTCTGAATATTTTCATTCATGAGAAACTGAGCACAACCTAAAAGGACTGTTTACATTGTCAGATTGAATTAATTTTAAGACATACTAGAATTTTGCGTCATCACATAAACCAGCAGGTAAGAGCTCCTGGACCAGACAGGCTCTAGACTAAACAAAGGAGCTCCATTCCTCGTGCCCTAACTGTCCTGTGACTTAAATTCTGAACTCTGCCCTCCAAGCCACAAGGTCTCTGCACCTCTCATGTGCACTCCACGCAGGGCTTAGGTACCCATGTTGGAGAAACAGCTGCCATCAGACTTCGGCTCCCCTTATTCACAACTGGATAGTCATTCATGCTATTCAGAATAAAATTATGGAGTTCCTTTTAAATTGATCCGGCAGTAGCTACTTTCTGAGGCCACATTGTTCAATGTGTGCTGAGATTTTCTTTAGAGATTAGAACGTCAGAAGGCTGCTGAGATAAGGCATATCATCAGAGAGACAAAGCCTCCTAGAAATGAAGTGCATTTAAAAGTGTTGGATCAGAGAAAAATAGGAAGAATTAAAGCTTCCATGACAACCATCTCATCAACCTGGACCTTATGTTATTTCTTCCTTACTTTCAAAGATCACAAATAAGCTCAAGAAGTGAAAAAAAAAAAAAAAAAAAAAATCTGCTCTCAACTACTAAATCCTGGTTTGCTTTGGGAAAATGTAAATACAATCATGAGAAGGGGTTATTGATATAAATGTGATTATAAGAGACTCCTAATTTCAAAAAAGTCCAACTATTAAGGCATTTTTAGCAAAATACGCAAGTAAAGACTTGAATTAAATAAAATCTTCTTCTGAAAAAGAAGGGTTAGGGACAGATTGATTGATCATTTGAAAATATTTATTTTTGGACCAGCGTTTGATTCCCTATCACACATGCTATGCGAGCCCTGTTTCAGGGGCACACTAGGCCAGCAACAGTATCTGGGCGTGGTGGTGCATGCCTGTAATCCCAGCTCTTGAAAACAAGAGGATCACTGCGAGTCCGAGCTGCATAGTGAGACCCTGTACCAAACACAAAAATGGAAAAAAAAAAATTATTTTCCAACTACTTCAGAGGCTAAGGCAAGAGAACCAATTTGAAGCCAAGCTAAGAATTCAACAAGACGGGACTCCTCCCCCAGGGCGGGGTAGTTGGAGCCCAACATGGCGGCCTGCCGCTACCGCTGTTTCCTTAAGCTCTGTGAGGAGTGGCCAGTGGACGACACCAAACGGGGCCGGGACTTGGGCGCTTACCTGCGGCAGCGGGGAGCACAGGCCTTTGGGGAGGGAGAAAATACCCAGGTCGCTGAGCCCGAGGCCTGCGATCAGATGTACGAGAGGTTGGCACGACTCCGTTCAAACTACTGCAAACACAAGTACCCTCGCCCGAGAGACACCAGCTTCAGCGGCCTGTCCCTGGAGGAGTACAAGCTGATCCTGTCCACAGACACCCTGGAAGAGTTTAAGGACATGAACAAAGGCCTGTGGAAGAAGCTGCAGGAGAAGTTTGTCCCC